AAAGAAAGAAAGAAAAAAAAGAAAAAGAAAAAGAAAAGAAAGGAAAGGAAGAAAGGAAGGAAGGAAGGAAGGAAGGAAGAAAGAAAGAAAGAAAGAAAGAAAGAAAGAAAGAAAGAAAGAAAGAAAGAAAGAAAGAAAGAAAGAAAAGAAAAATGTATAAGGCCTAGGGATGTGGCTCAGTGGTTAAGCACCCCTGGAGTTAGATCCCCAGTACCCAAAAAAATGTGCTGTAACTACAATGTAAATCGAATCTAACGTAAATTGCATCAATTAGCTTGAAAAACTATTTACCAGTATCTTTTAAAGCTAACATGGGCATACTAAATGGTCCAGTAATTCTAAGTATTTATTCAGCATAAATGAGTACATATGTTCACTAAAAGGCATGCACAAATAAGTTCATGGCTGCACTATTCATAGCCAAATGTTTATCAACATCTATGAATAAATAGTGGCATATTTGTATAACAAAATACTGTATAACAGCAATGGGGGAAACTATTAATAGCAATATGGATAATACAATGCTGAATAAATATATAATATAATATATATATATATTTATATATACACATACATATACACACACACACACTCAAAACATCATGCTGAATGATCAATCAATCAATAACTGATATTAGGGGAAATAAAAGAAGGTAGACACAGAGTTCAAATTTTGTGTTTTCACTTATATAAAGCTCATAACCAAGCAATTCTAATCTATGATGTTAGGATACAAAGGTTCACCTGGCATCAGAAAGAAAGTGAACAGTAACTGGAGAGCAGCATGAGAGGGTTTATAGGGTCCTGATCATGCTTTGTTTTTGATCTAGGAATTTGGCACATGAGTATTTTGGTTTGCATAATCCTTATGCTGTACAATTAAAATTTGTGCACTTTGTAAAGTGTGTTTTATTTCAATAAAAGTTTAATTTAAAGGGTAAGTTTAGATGTATGGTAGATAAATGATAGCCCCCAAGGATATTTATATCCTAATGCTTAGAACATGCAAATACTTTACATAATAAAAGAGACAAGGTTGCTTGTAATCCCAGCAACTCAGGAGGCTGGGACAAGAGATTGCGAGTTCAAAGCCAGCCTCAGCAAAAAGTGAAGTGCTAAAGCAACTCAGTGAAACCCTGTCTCTAAATAAATATAAAATAGGGCTGGGGATGTGTCTCAGTGGTCAAGTGCCCCTGAGTTTAATCCCCAGTAGTCCCCACCACCAATAAAAGATAAAGCCTGTGAGGCTCTTAAGATATGGAATTTCCAGGTTTACCCAAGCATGTTCAACATAATTACATTAATCTTTATAAGAGGGAAGCAAAGAGAGAGATGTGTCCACAAAAGAAGAGTGTCAAAGTGAGGTAGCATAAGAAAACTCTGACCAATCATTAATGGCTTTGAAGATGGAGGACAGGGCCATAAGTCAAAGTATGAATGCAACCTTGAAAAACTGCACAGTACAAGGAAATGGATTGCCCCCTGAAACTTAATCCAATCCTGCCAACACCTTAATTTTAGACTATTCACTTCCAGAACTGTAAAAGAATAAATCTGTTATTTCAACATACTAAATTTGTTGTAATTTTTTACTTAAGTTCAAACAGAATAATATATGATACTTTGAAATATTTAAATATATAGAAGCAAAGGCTTCCAGAAAATTAAAACGAGAAAAAAAGATAAAAGTAATAGGAAAGTACAAAGATAGCAGTCTGAAATACAAAACAGCTATTGTAGATCCTGGTAGATTTTCTGTCTATTAAAACTGAGTCTACAAGACAACTATCAGTGAAGTTGCTAAGGAATTTAAGTGCAGTGAACTATATTGGTCCATTTCAGTTGTGATACTTTGGATCTGAAAGGTACCACAGAAGACCATATGATAAAGGTACATTCCCCAGCTCATGGTGCTATTGTGAGGTGGTAGAATAGATAGAGGAAGTTAGGTCATTAGGAATGTGTCCTTGAAGAACCCTACTGGACCTGGCCCCTTGCACTACCCCACTCCACTTTTCTGTTTCTCAACTGCCACACTCCTGCTGTAAAGTACTGTGCTGCCACAGGTCCAAGCTACAGAGCCAGGCACTATCAGCTGAAACTATGAGTCAAAATATGTTTTTTTTCCTTATTAAGTTCATTATTACATAAAAGCTGATTAACATACCAACCTAAAGGTTTTTATAACACACAAAGTAAAATTAAAAAATAATTAGAACTGATATTAATTTTATCAGTGATATTTGAACAGAATATATTGCACAGATACAGATGTCTGAGCTACTCTGTTATGTATTTTCACATATTATTCCTAATGGTTATGTAAATTTTCCCCTAAATTATAATTTAAAAATTATAGGGCAAAAGGGGTATAATAAGGTATGGTTTCCAACATCTTAAGGTGGCAGAACTGTGATCTGAACTCCAAAAATTTCACTTACCTTTATATAATAAAAAAGCAAAAACAAATAAAGTCTTTTATGTTACCCAGAGAGATATATTTTAATAATTCATTGATAACATAGTGCAACCTCATTTCATATAATTAAAATCTTACTTTGTTTCATGTAGTGTTCTTTTCCTAAGTCGAAGAGGATGAGTAGTTTCTTGTTTCTCAGTGGTTACATTTTGCTCTGGATCACTGATGACAGCCCTACACAGGAAAATATGAAGTCTAATAATTAAGGTGATAATGCATTACTCTAACATTCATATATTTTTAAGCAGCTGGAAAAGATCAAACACTAAATGAAATTTAAATCACTATTAGAATAACATTTTGCCAGAAATGAGTAAATTTAATTATTAAAAATATTGGCCATTAAAATTGAATATTTCTATCTCTTATTCCATAATTATTGTCTAAAAATAAATTGAAATTTTGAAGGATGCTAAGTGCTTCATGTCTTTCTTTTACTACTCTTTAAACAAATAGATACTACACTGGTTTCTGATAAGATAGAGGAAAACACTGGTAAAGAATATAATAAGAATAAAAATGCAATAAGAAGTAAATAAAGCAATGAGTACTATAATAGAAATTCAACGGGCAAACAGAAGATGACTTAAATCCTGAAAAAGAATATATAAGAAAGATTCCACCAAAGCCCTCAAAGAAGAGATGTCCACACTATCTCTGAAAAGTTAGTAGAAGTAGCTGTTCAGAGGAAAGGGAGTCAGGATATCAAGAGAAGAGCAACAACAAACACAAGGCCGCAGGAGTAGAGCAGCACGGCACACCTGAGCAGCTTCACAGAGGGCAGGGATAAGAACACACACTCTGGGGCTGGAATGCCTGGGTTCAGCCCTTGCCTCATCCAGAAATTAGGCGTGTGGCCTTATCTAGTCTTTCGACTCTAGGGTACAGTTTCTTCACTCATAAAAGAAACAATAATGAGCTGAGCATGGTGACACACTCCTATTATCCCGGTAGTTAGAGAGGCTGAGGCAGCAGGATCACAGGCTCAAAGCCAGCCCCAGCAACTTAGCAAAATTCTAAGCAACTTAGTGAGACCTGTCTCAAAATAAAAAAATAAAAAGGGCTGGAGAAGTAGCTCAGTGGTTAAATACTTAGTTCAATCCTCAGTACCAACAATAATAATAATGATAATAATAATAATAATAGTACCTCTCTCAAATACCTATTATGAAGATTAAATAAATTAGTTAATACATATTATTTAGAGGAGTGTCTATCATCTAGTGTTAGTGAAGTGCTCACTCACTGAGCTTATGCCTCCCTGTTCCCATTTTATTATATGTTCTGCCAAATATGAAATATGAACAAACACAGAGTCATGACAGGCTATTAGGTAACACTGCAATAGGCTAGAAAAAAAGATAGCAAGGTGGCATTAAAAATAGATGCAGTATAATGGATTTGAGAAATACTGGAAGAACTAGGAGATTAACTGGCTTTAACATCATTAAGTAGAAAAATCTACCGTAATCTTACAATGTGAAAGGAGTTTCATTTAATAATATAAGGAATATGGGAGTCATATAATAGTTTTGGTTTGTCATTATTGGTAGTGGTATTTTAATAGCAGAAAGGCAATCTATCCTTACTTCTGTCTTTATCCAGCATGATTTATCAAAATATAAATTTATATAATCCTTAACAACCTTATTGCCCTCTCTGGTGTTTTCCTATTTCCCTGACAAAACCCCAAGTAAGAATAAATTGATGATGAACTGGTTAAAAGAATAAATACATAAGCCTTTTTGAAAAAGGTATCATGAGTCTTCAAAAAATACAAAGATAAACAGCAAGTCAGAGATAGAAAAATTTACGAATTTTTTCAGTTTCTTCTATTGCTTAAATATTCAGGAAAAGCTTTAAGAATTTCTACCCTATTGTAGGTACTCCCTATTTGTGTGCCAAATTATGAGCTAAACAATTTTAAGCTGAATATAAAGATACATTTTTTTAAAAATTTTCCTGGTGAAGAAGGCTGGAATTTACCAAAAAGCGGCACCCATTCTGTTCTCACACCGTCACGATATCAATTCTACGTTAAATAGACACATAAAGAATGTTAGAGTTATAGAAATCTTAAATGTTCTTTTGGAAGAAGCTAAAATCAAGACATACAGAAGGAAAATATGAAGGCTCAAAAAGTAATTTTAGTCACATAGCTAAACACTAAATTCAGTTCTGCTGACTTTATTAGTCCTTTTTTCCAGTTCATTCGTTCATTTGCCCATTCAGCAAGTACTTGGTGTACAGATACTCCACTAGGGAATAGAAATGCAGCAAAAAATGAACAAAACTTCCAAAGAGACCTACCTGCTTTATGGAGCACACAGACAATTAACATGATGAATAAGTAAAGTAAAAGATAACTTACATATTGATAATTCCCATGGAAGGAAAAACAAAGTAGTAAGAGGCTATAGAGTTTTGAGTAAGGGAGTTATAACTTCTTATTTGGTAGCCAAGGTAGGTCTCAATAAGGTGACTTCTAAATAAAGGTAAAGTAAGCAAGCAGCAATATGAATTTATGGGGGAAATGCATTCTAAGCAGAGGGGAAAATATATGCAAAGTACCTGAAACAGGAGTAGAACCTGATATGTTCCAGAGCAGGGAGCAAGCCAGAAGGTTGGAGTAGAGTAGACAGATGAGAGGAGCAGGACTCCAAATTCTAACAGTAAGCAGATCAATGGTGGGATTGAACACTATATTACTGGCTCCAATTTTTCAGCACTCTTGATTCACATCCTTGCCATGGCTGTATTATAAATGAAATGTACTTCCTCTCCCCTTGACTTTGAGCTTAGCCACTTGACCTCCTTTGGTTATATATTATATATAGTTGGATGGCTTTGCTGATCTTAAATGAACTAATTCATGCAAGTGTGGATGATCTACAATGATCTACAAAATCTGCCAATCTACAATGGTCCAAGCTAAATAGCCCCTCTGCATTTATAGAGGAATCTTTTACTTGAGACTAGTTGGCTATCCAAGTATTGTTCTGCTCTCATATATGGTAGATGCACAAGAGGGCAAATTGAAATGTATGAGGTCTCTTACAACCTAAGCTCAGAATGATGTGATCATTTATTTTGTTCATATATAACTAGTCAGAGGAATAAGTAAAATCCATCCACCTAAGCCAAGTCTGGACAGCAAATCTAAAGATACATTAGCAAAAATTAAATGCTGTTTTTTTTAAGAGAGAGAGAGAGAGAGAGAGAGAGAGAAAGAAAGAGAGAGAGAGAATTTTTTAATATTTATTTTTAGTTTTTGGTGGACACAACATCTTTATTTTATTTTTATGTGGTGCTGAGGATCGAACTCAGTGCCCCACGCATGCCAGGTGAGCGCGTTACCCCTTGAGCCACATCCCCAGCCCAAAATGCTGTTTTTTTAAGCTCCTAAAAATTACTTATACTTACATATAAGCATTGTAATTTTATTATTATTGGGGATGGTTTAATTACTGGATGGTTTGATCTGTCTTGTTTAATAATTTCATTCTAGCTGCTGGGTTGAGAATAAACCTACAAGAGGTAAATGCAGACACAATAGGAGCAGTTAACAAATAAATGAAATAATCCAGGAGATAGAAGGTGATGGTTGAAACAAGGATGGTGGCCAAAGAAGGAATAAAGTTATTTTAATGGTGGAACTGAAAAATGTCTGCTGACAGACTGGATATAGAATTTGAATGAAAGAGATGAGTTAAAGGAAACACCAGGATTTAGGCCTAAATAATTTCAAGAATGGAGTTTCCACAGAGGAAAATTAAAGAGGACTGGGTTATGCAGAAGAACCCAGATTGGAAAATAAAATTGTTAAATTGAAATCTTAAATTAGAGATGCATCAGGATACAGAATGTTTTTAAGGGCATGATACTGGATGAAATCACTAGGAGGCAAATACAGAAAACGTCCTAGGCAGTGCCGTATTTAAAGACTGGGGAGACGAAGAAGAACCAGAAAACAATCAAGAGTGGAGAGCAGAAAGTCAAGTAGAGAAGAGAAAAAAAAGTGTTTCAAAAAGAAGTAAACTTCAACGGAGCTAGTGTTGCTGATGGGGCAAGTAAAGGAGAGACCACCATTTGTCTAGCAATACAGATGTGACTATTTACCTTATGAAGAGAATAAGGTAGCAGAAGTAAAACATAAGTCAAGTCCATGGGATGATAGATAGGCTATAAAAATAATTGTCTCAAAGAACTTACTGAAAAATATGCTTGTAGGATTATCATTCTTTCTGCTTCCTAAATAAACAACTTTTTCAGGTTGATCTTAAGTCTTACTTTTTCCTTGAAGAGTTCCTGCATTAGTCCAGCCTCTTCTAAAATCTTACCATATTTACAAGCTGTCATACTATTTAGCACTGCATGTAATAGAATTTTATATAGTTTTCTAAGGAGCTTTTAAATTCTTGAAGGTTACTCTCACAGTTCTCAAACTGCATAGGGTAACTGTGGGATATTAATTTTTAAGGGAAACAGGCATTCGCCATCTTTTGGATATCATATAAACTACTAGCTGAAAGTAGCTGACAGCTTCAACACAGGATTGTGTTATTCTTTCTTCAATGATGTTACATCTTTACAAGAGTTTTCTACAACCACTGTGATAAAAAGCAAATATGGGAAAATCAATGTAGAATAGAAAGTGATCCTAAATGATTCTAAGATTTAAGAGATTGTTCAGTACTTAAAATATACAAACAACCCATTAGTAAGCAACTGTGACAATTTAAGAATGAAATAATTATATCTTCTTCTAATTTATCCGCATCATTTTTTCATGTGGCCACAAAGTTGTTAGGAAATAGATACTTATTAAGTTGTTTAGATAAAAGTTCTTAATAAATAGAACTATTATGTATTTCTTTGGTCTAAGGGTGCTCTGAAAAAATTACTAAGACACTAAGAGTGCAGTGAAGAGAGAGCTTGGGAACCTCTAAGTCAGCCATGCCTTGAGTGACCAGGGACATGTGTATCATGCATGAAAAAGAAATTCAATGAAAACTTTTGGAATGGATTTCTATTACCAGTTACTAACTCTCACCTAGATAAGTAGTCGATCATCATTTGCTCTGTGACGGTCTGTTTCTTCTTCTCTGCAGCCACAATTTCCTGAGAAGATAAAAATAAAAACATTTTTATTGTCCATAAAGCAGAACAATTAATACCAAAATCCTAAAAAAATTAAACATTTCTAATGTTGCTCTTAAATACAGATTGTTATCCATCATTAACGTACTTAAGCTTTAATTATTTAATCTTAATTTACCATTTTCTAAAAAGCAAAGCACTTAAATTTCAATACAAATCATCAGACATTTCCAATAAGCTATGGAGTCAGAATAAAGGGTAAGAAGGCTATGACATGCCCCTCTCTCCTTATTACTCCCAATAAGACATGTCCTACCAAATGTATCTTAACCTGCTACAAGAATACCAATACAGAAACAAAAAGAGTGCAGTCTAAAATTATTCACAGTTGAAGAGGCTGAAACTGAAATAGAATCATTCAACTTTACATCAAAAATCTAAAGTTGAAACAGATACGGCTGTGCATGCCTGTAATCTCAGCAACTGAAGAGGCTGAGACAGGAGGATTGCAAGTTCAAGGCCAGCCTCAGCAACTCAGCAAGACCCTAAGCAACTGAGCAAGACCCTATCTCAAAATAAAAAATAAAAAGTGCTATGGATATAGCTCAGTGGTAAAGCATCCCTGGGTTTAATTCCCAGTTTAAAAAAAAAAATCTAATACATAACAAAAGAATTCCCATCTTTAAAAGGAAGATAATCTTTTCTATGTCTATCTTATGGTTTCAATATGAGGTGTCCCCCCAAATGTTTCTATGCTAATGGAGGAATGTTCAAAGGTAACATGATGGAATTGTGAGAGCTGAAACCTAGTCAGTCCATCCTAGTTTGAATGACTGGGCGGTAGCTACAGACAGGTGTGTGTGTGTAGAGGAAGTGGGTTACTGGGCCTGTGCCCTGGAAGGTGCTTCTTCCCTGTAGCCCCTTTTCCACCCTCTGCCCCTCTCCCTGCTTCCTAACACTGCCATGAGCTAAGCAGCTTTCCTCCTTGGAGCTCTGAAACCATGAGCCCTAAATAAACTTTTCCTCCTCCTCTAAGTTATTCATGTCAAGTATTTTGATCACAGGGAGGCAAAAGCTGACTAAAACAGTATATAATACCTTAATCATATCTAATCAATTTTCCTTAATTACTGGTTTTATTAACCTGTCTTCATACTATTTTTTATTTTTCCAACTCATCTAAAAGCATTTATACTACTTTTTAGATCATATCAAATTGGAAGATTTGCAATCATTCAATTCCAATTAGAGATCACACAACTATAAACACTAAAATATTTCTTTAGGGGAAAAACAAAAGAAGTTAAAAATTAAGAGGTCAAAACAACACATGTCCTATTCTTAGAATGTAGTTACCATATCTCTATTAATGACTCTAATAAAAAAAATCAACTAAGATAATGTTGTTTAAGACAGAGGCTTTGCAACTTTAGGGAAGGTATTCAATTTAAAACTAACATAAAATATCAAGTAAAGAATATCATAAAAATAAAAAGTGAAAATTTTTATGAAACCTGGAAAAAGTGGCCACTATTATATAAACATTAGCCTATAATTGAATTTAGTGTTTTTTGGTAGAAATTTAAGATGTATAGTTTACATATCCAAAAATACTCAAAATAGCTTTTATATCTTTTAATACATGACTGTTTCTTATGCTATTCTCTAAGTTCATAACACACTATAATGATTTTTTATTTAATAGTAAATTTAAAATGGCAATTAAAAAAGAAAATTATATAACCCACAGCTAAAGCAAAGAGTATATTATAATACTTGAGGATGATTCAAAAAGCAGACAGTAAAACACATTGAAATTATATATAGAAGAGATCCACTCCAGCCAGAATGTAGATGAAAAACCCCAAACCTAGACAAAGACGAAGATTAATGACTACCCTAGAACCCATGCAAAGGGCCACCTTCAGTGCTAAAGTTCATGGTGGTTTTTACTTTGTAGGGAAGATTGGAACCACCCTCAGTCACATTGATTTAGAGGTCTGTGAAAGCATAAAGCAGATTAGAAACAGAAGTCACAGGAATAAAAAAAGAGCTGACAACACTGAAAAATGACAACAGCACCAGGAGAGGGGCATAAAAACCATAGTGTCACTACTCGTTGTTCCTCTAAGTAGCTAAAGAAGTTTGTACCTCCATCTTTAAAACACATTGGTGATCATTTCAAATGTCTGAAAAGCCTACTCATATCCACATTGCCATGGAGAAACAAAACAGATAAACAAGTACTACCGCAAAAAAGCAACTCAAATTACTTGATGGTCAGTTTATATACATCACCACTAATAATGTCAATACAAAGAAAAGAAATATACTACCTCCCGGATGGCTTTGGGTTATACCAAGAATAATACCCAATGGGCCCTAAGTATAGGTGATATCTATCTCAAATACAACTTCAGAAAATAAACCTTTTTGGGGACACCATTTTGCCTCGTAATTTTGTTATTTTTACGATGACCCAAGTAATACTACTAAGCATAAATATTTAAATAATAATAAGCATAGAAAACGACATGAATGTGATTTTAATGGAAGAACTGCAATAAATTTGAGACATCCACAGACTATTAGCCTGACTGATCCAGAGATTAATTACACATCATTATCAGTTCATAATATATTGATTCTAGATGACTGCAACTCAAGTTAAAAAAAAAGTATATACACATACACACACATATATACACACACAATAGTTTATCTATACAATTGTATGTGTATATATATTGTGCATACATACACATATGTATATATATATATTGTGAATATATATATGCATGTATATACACAGATATATATATATATATTGCATATATATGTTGTGTGTATATATATATATTTTTGATGATAATGTAAAATGTAACTAGCTAAATCCATGTTGCTTTATTATTATTTGGGTTATCTAAGCCAGAGCTTTCCCATCTCGTATTGCATTACCTTTTCAGGATGTCTAAGATACTAATCACCTGGGGTTCTAGGGGATGAGCACACTCCACCTTCAAGCAGTTTGGTCCTCTTACCATGGGATACTATAGAACTATTATACTTACCTATGTATACCAGAACTGGTCTAAGCACCACCTATCAATCTATTTAACTGTTAAAAATACATACTCGAAAGTTAATATTGAAAGTCTGGAGTTTTGCTTCAATTTTATTAAAGAAAAACATCTTTAATTCCTGGCTTTTTCCACAACTGGCACAATCTCTGTAATGATAGTAGCCTATGAATTTCAAAACAATAACTAGGCATCTATTTGAAGGGAGGATGTGATACCAAATAAGCCCACTAACATAAAAAGTGGCCAATTAATATTTTGAACAATATAAACTAAATTTTTGTAAATAAAATGCAAGACACTTTCCACAGAAAATATACCAAACATAAGTTAATCATTTATAAAAATAACAACTCAATTTATACATCAATGAATATTCATCTCAGTCCAAATTCAATTGTTGCAATTTTTCTAAGTCTGTAAACTCTTGGAGAGTAATGATCCTAATGACTTATCATATAAGAGAGTGCTGAAGCCTAACCGCATCTGATTTCCTTGCGTTGTGCTGTACATGTTGAGAGTTGTGCACATATTCACTCTGCAAGAGGGCTTTCCTATCCAGAGTTGTGAGGTCATCCAAGCTGTTTTCTTCACCCTGTATACATTGTATAACGAAGCAATAAATGGACCATTATACACATTTTGAATATTTGTATTTTTACAAAATAAGCAACTAGATAATGACTAAATACCTCAGAGATTACTTTTATAGGAGTTTTACAGTACAAACTATGACAATCTGATTGCCTCTCTTTGAATCCAGCTCTTCTACTTTATCTTTGTGCCTTGGTTTACCCAGATAAAATAGGATCAATAGTAACTACTTGACCAAAAAGATTCAATGAGATGGTACATGCCCAATTCTTATAAAGAGTACCTGACTAGCCAAGTGCACTGGCACACACCTGTAATCCCAGAATCTCAGGAGGCTGAGGCAGGAGGATCACAAGTTCAAAGCCAGCCTCAGCAATAGCAGGGCTCTAAGCAACACAATGAGACCCTGTCTCTAAATAAAATACAAAATGGGGCCGGAGATGTGGCTCAATGGTAGAGTGCCGCTGAGTTCAATCCCTGGTACCCAGCCACCCCCCCCAAAAAAAATTACCTGACAAACTAAGCATTAAATAAGAGAAGTATTTTAACTATTACTGTCCATGTTGAGTTATTGTGAAATTAATACATTAAATTCAGAACCAAAATACTAAAATATGGTGGTATTCTCTAAAGTAAAGAATTCTTTGGGGTTGTCAAAAAGATGGAACGACAAATTTTTCTCTGAATATGAGATGTACTTATAATGCCTTAACTAAAAAAAAGTTTCATTATGATAGCAACTTGTCAAAAACTTAACAAACTTCAAGAATTTTTATCCTATGGATTATTCTTACTTTAGATCTTCCAAAGATCACACTTCAACTTCATACTCTGCTCTTTCTTCATGACCTTTGGTGACTACATGAAATTTTATTACATATGTGTTCATAATTTATTGCCTGTGTCTTTTATTATAAGCTCCATGAGGTCAGGAACTTTTGTCAATTTTACTGCTGTATCTCTGGTGCCAGAAAAGCATTTACTACTGGGAAATAAATGTATGAGAAAACTGAATAGTCTTATTTATTTAACTGCCAATATAATTCTTTTCCCTAAATAATGATTTATTTAAATGGGCACCAAAAAGATGCTTAGCATTAGACAAAATAAACAAAGTAATTTAGTAGATACATTTAAGCATAAGCAAAGCTCTGCATTGTGTTAAAAAATTCTTTTTTTAACAATTTACAAAAGGAAAGCAGTGAGTGATATTTCTACTTGATACATCAAATTTAACCTCCCCAAACCACACTTCCATATAGTCTTTCCTCAACTCTACTGAAGGTCAACTGCTTAGACCAAAAGGCTCAGAGGAATTTTTTAATTTTAAATAATTTAATTGATAAAATTGTGTACATTCAAGGTATATGATGTGATGATTTGCTATACATATACATGTGTAATAATTACCACAATCAAACTAATTAATTAATGCATCCATCATCACAAATAGTTATGGACACAAATGAGAAAACAGTGAAAATTTCAATCAAATTGAAAATTAAAAAATACAATATTAATAACTATAGTTACCACATTACAATAGTTCCCCAGAATTTATCATATAAGTGAAACTTTGTACCTTTTGACCAACATCTCCCCATCTCCCTGGCAACCATACATAAGCTAGCACATAAAGCCCTTGTCTTTCTGTTCCTGGCTTATTTTCATTAGCATAGTGTCCTGCATATTCATTCATGAACAGCTATTCTTGCTCTTCCCTATCTCTCAAGCCTACAACCCATCTGTAGCTAATCTTCTTAGCCCCACCTTAGCCAGAATCTGAAGTCATGAGACCACCTCTTATCCAATTCTGTTACTACCACCGCCCAGATCCAAGTCATCATCTTTATATCCATTACTGTAACAGTCTCCCAAAGGTCTTCCTGTTTCCAAGGTTGCCATATTCTCAATTAAACCCTTTCTCAACAGAACTAAGCAGCTTTCTGCCTCAGGGTGAAAGGGCAAAGTCCTTACAGGGTCTTTGGAGCTACTGTGATCTGGCTCCCAGGCTCCCTTTAACTCTCTACCCAGTTTCCTCCCAACTCTCCCAGCTCTCCTTCCTCCTCTGACCACATTTTGCTCCTCAAGATTTCTTAAACCATGTAAGCTACTCCTACCTCATAACATGAGTTTCTACTGACTGGTTGGCTTCCATCTCTCAGGTGAGAGCTAAAATGCTATCTTATGGAAAAGGTCTCCCCTGCTTACCCTAAACAAATTATTACCCCATACCTACAGCCTGGCTCTCCCTATTCTCTTCTCTTCATAGCTCTTATTATGACCATCTGTGATGCAAAAATGGGCTGGTTGGTTATGGAATGCATTGATTGATTATGTTTTCTTCTTACTATCTCTTCACATTAGGAAATAAGTTCTATAACAGCAGAAATTTTTGTTTGTTTTATTCCCCTATTCCCAGAACAGTTTCTTGCATATAGTTAAAACATTCAAAAAATTCAATAATTATTTTGGAAAGTAAAAAACAATACATTAATGAACTAAATCATTTCTATAACCAAAAGGCATTTATCTTTTAAAAAGCTGATGAAAAAGATATATCTAACCTGATTAATAAATACAATTAATGAATTAATATGATTTTCTTAAAGCTGAAATTTAATAATTTCCATTTTTTATTTAAAGATGTTTCAATATTTCGGATAATGTATACATGCACACATGAGAGTACATTTTCAGTAGCAAAAAAATTGGGTAACTAGAAATTCACCACTATTTTATACTAAGTGGTAATTAATAAAACTCAACAAAGGAAATTTGGCATTAGAATCAAGTTCCAACTGATGATTTGTCAACTTGTGTATCAGCCTGATAAGTCAGTACCTATGGCCTTCTGTTAATGCCCTGGATCCTAAATACATCTAACCTTAACTTTTCTTCCTCAATAAAGAAAATCAATTTACATGTTTCTTTCTGCTCTAAAAAGAGGGGATTCCATTTCTAAAATCAAGAACTTCTATTTCCAAACATTATAATGTTAACTCATGTAATTGTAGTAGAATTTATCAATAACTCATTTATATAATAGTCTTGATAATCACAGGACTACACATTTTAAAAGACCTTTTGTTTATAAAAGCTCTTTTGCAAAAACACCAAAAATGTGTTAAATAATTTCACCCTTTTAATATATGTTTTAAAAAAAATCAAAGAAGTCAAACAACATCTTATCTAAGCAGAAAATACATTTAGATTGGCTTCTGTAAAATATCCATTCTAGATAAACATTTATCAGTCATATAGAGAGATTTGCAAATAATATTTGTTCCTCTCTTAAACAAAAAGTAAACAAGTGTCCTTATCTGAACTTGTGTTCCAAGAAATTAAAGTTTTACTTTAAAAATATTTTGAGCTATTTTTCTGCCACTCAATAGAGCATGTGCTTACAGAAACCTACAGTCCCAGCATATTTACAGTGATCTTAATATTACACTTTGCAAATAATACATGGCTGCTTGGTAAAGGTTGTGAGACTATCCTATAATAATATTATAGACATCAACTGATAATGTTTGCATATGTTTAGGTCTGGAAATTTGTTTTATGATAAAAAGCAACCAAATAATTTCATTAATTTTGTTATTCTTTCACCTAAACATGATTTATTTAGTCCTAGATAGTTCATACATGGATTTTAAAAAAATAGTTGCAATGCCACACCTACTTATAAATTTCCATTTTTTCACCTATGGAAAATAAGCAAGTAAAACCATTAAACTTCTCCAAAAATACATAATTCTTATAGAAGGTTAACTAAATTAAAAATCATATCCAAATATTCTTTTATTTTTGGCCTGTAGTACCATAAAACTGTTTTTAAGCCTTCCCAAAAATAAAGATTGAATTCCTGAATGTTTATGAAATACCATTAAGCTTATCACGTTTAATTTGCTCTTATATCCATAAATGCTAATTTTTACCTAATAAATATTAATGAAAGCATAACAATTTCAGCAATTTGTAAGGTTAAAAAATCTAAAAATGAGGCAAAAGTCAGTCAGGAAATAATGGCAGTTTTAGAATAAAATAGGTCCCTATATATTCTGAGGTTTCAACTTTAAAACTTAAAGACTATACTCCCACAGAATATATATATATATATGCACATACATATTCTTACTCCATTCTCAAAGCAAGTAAAAAGCTTCTAACAGAAAAAATAAGTCTAGATAAGGCTAGAATTTCTGTATTCAGAAAATGGGATAATAACGCATTATGTTGTGTAGAAAAAGCTAGCTAATATAGGTAAAATAATTACAATAATATTGGCCTGGCCTACTGAGACAAATGTTGGCTATTGTTAGAAAGAGATTTCTATAACCCATGAATTATTTGTTTTAAATTTTAAATCTTAAGAACTCTCACTTATTACCTTTTCATCAATCTTGTTTCTTGAAGGCTGTTGATGTGTGATATTTGATTTTGTCTTTTCTGAACTTCTCTGACTATATTGTGTATATCCCTCTTTCATTTCAGTTTGATATGGTTGATATTTTAGCTTGTATTTGCCTGTTGGTGATGGCAAATTTTCAGGTATTATGTTCTGTTCCTAGAGGTAAAAAGAAAAAAGTCTGTTGTTCTCAGAAAAAAATAAATTACTATAACTAAATTTCCTTATTGATATTAACAGGTTTACCATTTACCTCACCCTTTATGTTTAAGAAATGAACCATTATAACCTATGGTCTAAACAGAGATGATATTTAAAAACCTTGAGCTTGTATGGCATCGCTGACCAATAAGAGTCAACAGAACTGCTCAGAATGAGCATTTGAATACCAATAATCTTACACTTGATTTCACAGCTGAAGGTCAATCCTGGTTTCAAAAGAATTTGAGAAAAGAAAAAGAAACTTTTCCTTCTTCTGACAAGTTTTAGGTAGACACTTTTTTTGTTTTCCATTGTCAATCATGTCTTCCAAAATAGTTATAGGAATTGGAGATCACGAATGCTGAGAAGCACTGATTGCCATTTCTGAAATATTGAGATATTCTGCCTTCTGATATTATTTGATTCCATGCTACATTTTCATGGGAATGAGAGATAATTGATAAGAGGAACCAGTGGATAAGAGGAACCAGAAAGAAGTTTTAAGCAAATACAAGGGCATACATATTGATCCAGAGAGGCATAGACATTTCAAAAGGAAAATATAATCCAGTCCATTCCTTGAAAATTATTAAGGACATCCAAATTTAACCCAGGAAAAAAAAAGGATGAGGCAAAACTTAAGGACAAAATCTGTAACAACAAACAAATTAGGATACTTATGCAGTTTTCAAAAATGAGACTGAGAAGAACATGAAGAGAACCAGCTATATGATGGAGATATGCAAAGACAGAAAGGTAAGTACTATTCATAGAATAATACTAGTCAGAACCTGCATTCACTAAAAATTGTTTAAAATGTAAACATGCCCCAAGGAGACACATTGGATTAAGTATAGTTATTTATGTACTCCATAGTATTCTAGTAGCCTGATGTATTAGAATATAGCTGTATTTTACCAATTTCACAAAAGAAAATTATAAAATATCATTCCAATGTGTGAAAAAAATATAAAACAAACTAAAGTATTTTACCATCATTATTGTTTGAGATTTTCAAACAAAAATTTCTGGATCAAATATGGTGCTAATAATGCATAGTATAATTTTTAAAATTAGTAATAAGCAAATATATACTAACCAGTTCATTTAGATAATGCTGAGCATATGGTATTTGACCTGGTGAGACCCAACCAAGAGCAGATGACTTTGGTCGGTTAAAATGATTATGCGCCATATTAAGTGGAACATATGAAAAATCATCCTAAAAAATAAAATTTAATTGTATTTTAGTTTATGCTATGTGTAATATAGTGGTCAAGTGTTTATTATGTTAAATAAGAAGTAAAAATTACCTCATCATCAGAGCTCACAAGGCTTCCCAAATCAAGTGGTGGGACCCTGAAAAAAATAAGTATACATCTTATAACATTTTCAAATGAAACTTTGATAAATGAAAATCACATATGTTAGATCACATATAAAGCCACACTGAAGCTAATGGTATTCTGGCTCCCACCAGATTGTAATTATCTTTTGTTAAATGTTCAGGGATTTTTCAGCCGATGGTTAAATGCAGTCAATATTAAAAATAAAATTATATAAATTTGTGATTAAATAAATTATATTAAGAACAAAGGTAATAAATACTCAAAGTTCATAGGTTCCTAATGATTTCACTGGACTGTACACTCCAGAGGCTCTCTGCACTTCTTGTATCTCTATTGTGATATAATTGTGCCCAACTTTACAACTTTGCATTTACTGATTTGACGTGGACAGTCTGAAATCAGTCATGATGAAATAGGAAAATGCTATGACTCAGGGCTTGATTTATTACTTTGTTGATTTCTGAGACTTGAAAGTATGGTGGAGAAAGTGTTAATAATGCGGATAAAACTAAGAGTGCATCATGTCCACAGCTGTCAAGTAGTGAATAACAAAAAATTATTTCTGTATTCAATATTATTGATTTTACCAGAAAATAACTCATATCACTTTACAGTAAAGAAAAATAGCTTGAAAAATCACTTTTAGTTCACATGGAACTACAATAGTTCATCATAGCGAAGACAGGTTGGCTACAGATAGAGTCAATAAAAAACAAAGAAAGTATTCTGTGACCAACAATCGGCTAACTGGACACTACAATAAAGAGTTATATGTTTTACTAGCATTTGTAAACTTCTTGCTACGTATACCTCTTATCACTAAGTTATAATAAACTTAAAATATACTTAAATTTATTTATAATAAAAAAGTAAAAAAAAAAAGTTATAGTAAACTTGTAATACACTTTTGGAACACCAGTTGTTAAATATTTACCAGCATATAATTGACTATGGCTTCCCACATACTCAGTACCTTGTATCTTAGTACTCAATACCTTGTATCTGGACATAATTCTTTTTTTTTTTTTTAATTTTAATATTTATTTTTTAGTTTTCGGCGGACACAACATCTTTGTTGGTATGTGGTGCTGAGGATCGAACCCGGGCCGCACGCATGCCAGGCGAGCGCGCTACCGCTTGAGCCACATTCCCAGCCCCTGGACATAATTCTTTATGTCCAGATAAGCAGACAGATATCTACTAGGTAGAACCACATGAAATTATAGATATTGGCTCATTTTAAATGTAAAATACAAAACATAAATTAATGTATTCTAAACCAAAACTCAAATTTTAATAAGTTTGTTTAAGTTGTAATATACCTCAAAATAAGATTAGAACATGGGTATATTTACCATTAAGTTAAATTTGACTATACCAATTATAAAAATAAAAATGTTATATATTTCTTTCACAAATTCATTTAGTGAGTTATTTGTTATTTATGGAGTCATAATATATTTAACTTTTATGATTTTACATCTCAATTAAAAATAAACTGAAATTTTAAAATAGCATAATAAAAATGAATTTTCTTAATAAATAAATATTTTACCTTTTTCAGGAAAATATGAAATAATATTAAAGACAATAAAACAAAAGAAGTTTTACTCATAATCCTACCATTCTATCACAAGATGATTTTGGCATAATAATTTTTAAAACTTCCTGCTGCGCCCCTCCCCTGACTCAGGCAATGGCAAGGCCCTACTCAGGTGGATGGCGCAAGGCATCCATCCTCTGGAGGAGCGCAGTATGTTTCTGGGAATGGGCTGATTTGTTTTTGTATTCCTTTAATAAGTATAGTTGTGACTTCTCATATGACCATTAAGTACGAAGGAAAAAACATGACTTTCCCAATTAATGCAACTACTTCTAAAGAATAGATCTGTTTGCTCTAAATGCAATGATTCAGCTGTGGAGCGTAAATTGTTAATGTCTAATGAAAAACTCCCTGTATTCCTGTCAAGGAAGTTTTTGAGAAATTAAATTAAAACCTAGAGAAGAAAAATTAATATTAAGAAGACAGATTAGTGCTTAGTACTGGGCAACTTGTTCTTGTTCCTGTGCACAATGGTTTGTGCTCTTACTCGTGTTTGATTAAAATTAATAACAAGTCAACCACTTGCTGTAACCATGGCACCAGTTCCAGTCAGTAAGTCAAGAAAGAATAGTCAAGGTATAGGCCAATAGTTTGGGACATTTCTAACTATTATTAAAAGTTAACTAAGCAGAAACAGCTCAAAGCAAAACTCGAACTGAAAGTACAAAGGCTTGCTTATGCCTAAGCCAAGATACATTCTTCTATTCTAATTGTAGCTAGGTAATATTTTGTTTCTTTGAATAATGATTCCTGTTTTGTAACCACAAAGTACTGTGAGCCTGCCAAAATGAAAAGTATATATGATCAACTTCACAAGTAAATATTGGGATCAACACCTTCACTTTGGTATCTGTGTTGTTCTCTACCCCCCTTTTGCTGACTCCTCACCATCCGTTTGTCTCCTGAGACCCCCAGTTGGAGCTGGTCTCCGACAACTTCCATATACAAATAGGTTTTTCTGTAGTTCCCAAACATAAGTACACACATAATTTTTCTTTCATTCTTAACTTGGCAAGGCATCACAAATATTTGCCCATTAACCAATTCAAATGTAAAGAAATATTACTTACATAGGTGGGTAGGGATTTGGAGTTGCCCATGATCTGGAAACCCATCCTTGCTTTAATTTAAAAATAAAAATTAGAATCAGTATGCATATACCCTTTATGTTTTAAATGACAAGCAATGCATCAATGCAAAACTAATTATAATTTCTTTCAATAAACTCTATATAAAAATACTTATTAAGTCCTTCCTTGCTGTCTATGAGGCATAGATAAAACAATATATGCAAGACAATTATTACCCATATAGCCCTGTCTGTCTGTCAGAGAAGACATCACTCAAACAATAACAAGAAAAATAAGTCTATGACAGAGCAACTGTGTAGCAAGTGTACCCATCCTACTCTAGGGAATTAGGGAAATTTTTGCAAACCAGAAAGCAAACCCTTAAAGGGAGTTCTGAAAAATGAGGAGATAGCCAGATGAAAAGAAAAGGGAGAAAACCATTTCCACCAAAACCAAGTTACTGCTGAAATGTTATCTAACCAGGAGTTTTTTATAATATTGATAGAAGCATGGGCTGTTACATTCAAGACTGAGTTTTATGACTATAATTTACCATCAGAGTAAGAGATACAAATTTAACTCAATATCAACTTTAATATGACATTGTTTCAAATACTATTCTAATATTCAAGATGTGGAAATGGCAAAATTCTAAAAGGATCATTTAAATGAAAAAATAAACATGTAATAGAGGCATAAAGGTATCATGTTAACTTAAATCCCCTTGCCTAACCTGGGATCTGAACAACTTTTCATGTTCTTATCTCTATCTATTTATCTGTTGTTAGTGTTTGTAATGATGATACTTGTACTAATAAGTATCAGATTTTTTTTAAAGAGCTTATATGTTCTCATTTTTTAAATACTATTCTTCTTAAAACACTCCAGAAACAGCACCTAATAATTAGGCTTCAACTATATTGACACCTGGCTAATAAACTGTAAGAACAATCTGGGATTAATTTAAAAAAAAAATAGTTCAAGATAAGCATAAACATGTCCCCTAACTCTACCACTAGGTATAGTTAGTAAGACATAAGGCAGGTTTTATTTTTACAGAAAAAGGTAATTACAGAAGCTATTATTTTCAGAATTTAAACATTGAGATCTTCCTAATAATTAACCAGGGGGGGAAAAAACCTGAAGTTTCCATAATCTGATAACCAAGTAATCAGTGGAAAAGGCTGTAATACTATGCTTGATATTTTAAATAGTGAGAAGGGCTTCGACCCAAATTATCAGTGACTTGAAATTTTAAACTGTAAAATAGTAAACCATAAGAACTCCAAAGCATTCATCCATTCATATAAGGGTTAGTCAGAACTAGAGTTCAAAGTGTTCTTGCATATCTAAAAGCAGCAGGCAAATAATAGTGCCCACCTCTAAGGTTCACGGTTTGATTTATATGTTATTCAGACTTTTATTATGGTCAATGATAATCAGTAGGTATTCAGTATCTATAATAAAAATAACAAAGAGATGTGTATCACTTTCATATACCTTTAAATTAAATGTGCCATTTATCCAATTCTATGTAGATGCAGGGACAAAGTAACTTTAAGATTTCACTTAATTAATTGATGAAATCTACAACAGTGATATCGTGAAGGCTGAGAAGAATAAAAGTCTCAATAATAAAAGCCCGGATTCTCTTCCTGCATTGCTAATAGAAAATGTAATATTCTACAAAAAATTTTAATTTTGGTTTAAATATAAAAATCGCAAGTTGGATATTTGTACTTCTATCCTTTTGAGGATGCAATCATCACCACCCTGCTTCCCTTCTCCACCTTTTTTGCAAATCAAATGCTAATTCTAGTGCATACAGATGTCATTCTTCACTGAAACCTTCTCTACCTTTGCCAAACCCTTCTTCTTTCTGCCTTTATACTTTTGTAGCTATTTCTTTAGTTGAATTTAACACTCGGAATCATAAATCTTAAGATTAACTACAGGATCATTTATTACATCTCATTTATTGTTGGGTCTTTAGCACCTCAAATTGCACTAAACACATTATAAATAAAAAAATAAAATTCAAAAGAATGCAGTCACAGAGATTCTATTTTAAATAAACAGTGTACATTTTAAAAAGTTTGGATTATGATCTTCTAAACCTTCCTCTGAATATAAATTATACTATATATTATATAACCACTAAACACATTTTTAGAGTTTTTGATAATGTAGAAAATGCATTTTAAAAGTAACATAAAATTATATTTGCAGTTTGCAATAGTGTACCAATTATACATAAATCCATCAAAATGTAATAGGGCACATACTCATGAAGGAAATATTGATATGTTCTTCTCTCTACTATTGCTTCTTTCTTTTAGACTTTTTATAGACACATGGATAATTTTTAAATAACAATAATAAAATGATAAGCATGATTTTTTTAAAAAAAACTAACTCAGTGAGTTTTCTAGTAATAATTAACTTCAATTTTAGTGGTTCCATTGTCCAAATCTAGGAAACATTAATCTAAATATTTGTGAATATAATTAGTCATCAAAGCATGAAGAAAGGACTCATAAAATTATTTCGTGAGTCATCATGAAAGAGGAAAACTAGATTATTTACATACTTGTAGTGGCTTCTTTCTTCTCAAGAGTAACTGAGATTGGCTCCTAGGAGAAGTAGCCACTCCTTTTACCTCCAAATCCATTCAAGTTCCCGTATTTTTCATGCAGTATCCTGGTACTTTCAAAAAGGCAAAACAAATGTAAAATGACAATGCCTATCTAGTTTTAAATAAGTCATACAACTTACATAATAATACTTCATAGAAAGAAATCATATGGTCAATCACTTTTACTTCTTTCATCAGTATCATATTTGTATAGGGCAATTACATTATACCCCGTGGTAGTCTGCTCCCAAAGAGATCCCCATTGAAATGTCTGGACTCTAAATATGTACCTTACATGGCCAGAAGGACTTTTCAGATTTGATTAAGAATTTTGAGATGGAGAGATTTTCTTCTACTATCTGGTGAGCAAAATGTGACCCCCTTCATGTCCTTACGGGGGGGGGGGGGGGGGGAGGAGAGATTACAGTGAACAGTAATGTAAGGATGGAAGCATAGGTCAGAGAGGAGCCACAATGCTCTATGGCTGGCTCTGGAACTAGCTCTAGGATGGAGGGAGAGGTCACAGACAGCTTCCAGAAGGCAGAAGAGACTAAGAATGGTTTGTCCCCTGAAGCCTCCAAAAGGAAACAGCTCTGTTGACCACAGTGGTTTTAGATCCTTTAGGCTCATTTTGTACTCTGACCTCAAGATGTGTAAAAGAATACATTTATGTTGCTTTGAGCGACTAGTCTGTGATAATTTTTTTTACAGTAGTAATAGCATATTGCTATATCTCTCTTATCCACACAATGAGACACATGTTTATTCAGTCATTTACCCATTTCCCAAAGCTTGGTGGATTTTCCTTGTGTCAGAGTAGGCTGATGAAAATATTTTTAGCAAACAGTATTCTTAATACAAAGAATCAAATAGAATGAATGATCCAATTAGTAACTATGTGGTAACTATGTTTTCAAAAGACCGTTGAAAATAATCAACTTTCAAATACATACAAAATAAAATCAGATTAATATATCTGTCAAAAAAATTGTTTGTATTTTAGCTTATAATTCACCTTTATATTACCAGTTTAAGAATTCATTCATACTTTTTTATCATTAAACTTGGATTTATTTTTATAGCAAACTATTTTTATTTGTGTTTTCTTTTTTTTTTTTGAGAAACAGTATGGCATAGTGCCAGCTTGAGTTAGATAAATTGTATTAAAATCCTGATTTTTGCTACTTTCACATAATTTAAGCTTGGGTAAGAACTTAATTTCTAAGCCAATGTTCCTAATGTATAAAATAAATTTACAACTTACCCATTAGCATCCTTCTCATTTTGATGGAATAAAGTAACATTCAATAGATGAAAACTATGGTTATTATTAAAATTGTAATTTTATTTCAGGCCCACTACATTTTTCTTATCTAAAATCTCAGTTCCTTTCTAACTCATCTGTGTGGTTTTCTTTCATTCCTAAAAAACTGTTGCCTTAAGCTTGAAATTTTACTTTTTTTTTTTTTTAGTTGTAGTTGGACACAATACCTTTATTTATTTATTTTTATGCAGTGCTGAGGATCAAACCCAGCACCTTGCACATGCTAGGTGAGCACACTACCACTGAGCCACAACCCCCCTGCAATTCTACTCTTAAGAGTACAATAGATGAATGGATAAAGAAAATGTGGTATATATATTCAGTGGAATATTACTCAGCTTTAAAGAAGAATGAAATTATGGCATTTATCAGTAAATGGATGGAGTTAGAGAATATCATGCTAAGCAAAATAAGCCAATCCCAAAACAACAAAGACCAAATATTTTCTCTAATATGAAGATGCTAATTCACAATAAGAGGGTGGGGAACACTATAGAATAGAGTTACCTTAGATTAGGTAGAGGGAAGTGAAGGGAGAGGAGGGGAGGGGATGTGGGGATAGGAAGGATAGTAGAACAAAACAGACATTATTACTTTATGTATATATATGACTCAATGACCAATGTGATTCTACAACATGTACACTCAGAAAAATGAGAAATTACATCCCATCTATGTATGATATATCAAAGTACATAAATGCATTCTACTGTCATGTATAACTAGTTAAAACAAATAAAAGTTTTTTTAAAAAAAAAGTAAATTCAAGCCGGGCATCTTGGCTCATGCCTGCAATCCCAGTGGCTCAGAAGACTGAAGCAGGAGGATCATAAGTTCAAGGTTAGTTTCAGCAACTTAGAGAATTCCTAAGCAACTTAGTGAGACGTGCTCTAAAAAATTAAAACAAAATAAAAAAGAAATGGGAGGGGGCACTAGGGATGTAACTTGAGTGGTAAAACACCCATGGGTTAAATTCCTAGAGCCAAAAAAAAAAAAAAAGAATAAATTCAAAATTGATCAACCAAGAGTGCACATATTCTAAAAATATCACAAATCATCTGATTATAGGAGTATTTTCTCCTATAATCTTGCAAATGGCTTTCTTTTCAGAATTATCTTTCAAGAAGAAGCAACTTTTTAAAGTTGTTATTTGTTTGTGTTGTATGGGTGCTCCCCACCCCCATAGGTAGTTTAATAGCATCACAAAAGTTATCCTATTTGCTATGATGATTACCAGCTAACAAATCCAAGTTGAGACTACACTGAGGAGTCAGCTAAGCGATTTTCTCCACACATTTTCTTATTTTTCTCCCAACCTCTCAACTTTGTACCTTAATAATTATCACAGCCAGTTCAAATCACTATTGGTCATCTTAAATCGCTACAATTCATTTGCATAGTAATAAAACTGGCAAAATTTAAACTTCAAATATCCTGTTTCTCCTAGTCCCTGTGCTTTCCCAGAAACCACAATCATTACTCTTCATTGTAATTAGCTTATTTCATTTCTCTAATAAACTATCACGACCACAAAGTTTGATATCTCTTGCCCTTAGTATAACTTAGGCACCTAACAAATATCTACTTAGTTAATAAATAAGTTAATGCACCACCAAATACCTGTACATACTTTAAAGATATTCTTAGGTTAGTTGCACTTCTCTGAACCCAGTTATGACAATCATAATGCCAACATATAAATCCTGTCTTCAAGCAACTGGATAAGGTGTTTAAAGCACTGAATAGAAGCTATTATTCATAGCAATTATTACTCAGTATCAAACTGTAAGCCTCATAAAGGCAAGGACTACTACTGGTTTTATTTAACCTTATCTCAGGACCTAGCAGAAAGCCTAGAAAATAGTAAGAACTTAGTATTTGTTGAATAAGTTAATTCAGTCAATTCAGATACAAGTTAATTCAGAGTTACATAACTTAAAAATAATTAATTCAGATACAGTTAAGAGTGTTCAAAAGGCAGTGCCTTCACACATGGAACATTGGCATCTACAAAATTAAAGCGGTCAGGTCACCAACACCCTGTTTGGAGACTCTTAAGATTTGACCAGGGCTTCAAAGGTAAAACAGCCTAACCTTCTGATTTTCAAACTGAGCAAACTGATACCTGGAAAAGTGAATCTTACTTTGCCAAATTGTTTGCTAGTTATTGCAGAGCCTGAATTCGTAAGAAGGTTTCAGACTTCTTCACAGTACTAAACTATGCTGGTACATACAGATACTAGTTGCATCAGAGAAGAATTTTGCTGCTGGGACTACAGAACACCAAAAACCTAAACTTGGGGACCCAAGAATCAGCATTTCAAACAAATGGCTGGGAATCCATCTTTGGAATGCATACTGAGGCAGATGGGTGGGGATTGAATGGGAGTTGGCAGGAAGAGTGAAGAGTACTTTTGAATGGCTTTGGTCCCCACTCAAATTGCTACAAGTTATGATTTTGCTAGCATGTAATAGTGTTGTTGACTAGTGTCTTTGATGCAGCCCAAAAGAATTGAACTCATCTCCCACTTCCCTCACTTTTAACAACGATTATTTCCAATTCCAATTATCATCATTTCTCTCTTGGTTATTGGTGGCTATTAAGTTGCATATGTAAAATCAGAACACAATAGAAAGCAAAGAAAAAACTGATCTACTCCAGGAGAGAAGGAAGAGCTGATTCGTCAATACAATTCAGTATTTCAGCTCCAGGAGGGTAGAACTAAGTCTTTCTTGGATCCCAGGTGATAACTGACGCTGGTATCTGAAATTGAACCTGAGGTCATTGTTAATGTGAAACAAAGTACAGCAATCTTCCTTTCCCCAACATCATTGCCCTCTCCCCACAGTTAAATTATACTTCAGAGCACCTGCAGTGTACCATAAGAAATTCCTCATCCAGTTCCATCTGGGAATTATGAAGAGGCTAGGGCCACAGGGAACAGCCAGCCTGACTTGACCTAACAAGTTCAGTAAAGCCCAGGTCCAGACCAGGAGGGCTGGAAAAGGCATAAACTAGGGAGATTTCCCCAGAACCCATTCCAGCACTGGCTGGAAGGGGCAGGTCCCTGGAGAGGCGACACAGCAGGCCAGCGTCTGCAGGTTGCCCGGCAACAGGCGCCTCCACCGGGGCCTCTAACCGTCGTCTTTCGCTTCCAAGCGGAAAGATGGTCATCAGCCCTCGTCTTTAGCCCCTTGCATGCCAACTGTCGCCCCCACAAATGTGTCTGTGGTACCTTCGCCCCGAAGGCCTGCGCCCCGAAATTCCGCTGGGCAACCTTACCCTGCAGGACGAAGTGCACTGGCTGGAAATCTTCTTGGGCCCCGCCAGCGCCACACCAGGAACCGGCTCCGGGAGCCCTTAAACCCAGGCGGGGAGCTGGAACGGACTCACTCCCAGCGCAGGGAGAGCGCCATGGCCCGGCGTGGATCCGCCGCAGTTGTGCGATTAATTGAATAGAATTATATTTAATATATTTCTTAGGTAACTACATTTTATGCTCAGCCCCCAGATATGCTGTCAAGAAGCTTGCAATTATTCAAAAAGACAATATTTCAGAATAACATTATAGAGAAGTATAGATATTAAACAGATTTGGATATTAATTTAAATAAGTATGCACATATGTACATTTACATTATCACATATATGTTGCATGTGTGTGTATATATATATATTCATATATTCTATATAATATGTAAAACTGCATTTTAAAATATTGGTGTAACCGAAAGGGTACAGGCCTAGAAATCAGGAAACCTTGTTTTATTTTTTACCGTACTAAAATTTTAGCCTCACTCTGTACACAATGTCTTTGAGCATCAACTCCTTACTAATAAGGTGAAAAACTGGTTTCATATATTATTAAGGTTCCACTCCAATATAATGTACGACAGCTTTCCTAAATTACACAGCCAAATGTCAGATACCCAAATTAGAATTAAGATGTTATGAAGCCTAATCTAATTCCCTTCGCACAAAATCATGTTGTTGGTTGTTTTGTTTTGGGTTTTTTTTTGTAATATTTAGTATCTTTTCAAAATTAGCACCCCTAAAAATATGTATCCAAATTTACAAATTGAAGGCATTTTTAGAGTAAAAATATACATATATTTTGAAAACATTAAAATAGTAAAATTGATGGATATAACGTAATCACTCCATTTCTTCTCTACACTCCATAAAATTCATCCACCCATTACCCCGAAAGAAAGAAAAGCAAAAATCAACTGTTAAAAAATTAAACAGAAACAAAAAACTAAACTGAAAAAAACTAAACTGAAAAACTATAGTTGTCAAGTAATCTTAGTCATTCCACAAACAGATCAAGAAAACATCTTTAAGACACAACCTTGCCTATTCTTGCCACTTAGGCTTAGTACACCTCAATTGTTTCATTATTTCTAAATCTAATTCCCTAAGCCACCAGAAACATGTCTAAAATACCACGCCTATAAAATTCAGACATTTTGTTAAGACATTTCTCTTTTTCTTTTTTTTTTAATTGACTCAAAAATTTGTACATATTTATGGGGAAATTTGTTATGTTTTGATGCACATATACATTGTGTAGTATTCAAATCAGGATAAACAAATCTATATCATGAAACACTTATCTTTTCCCCACAATGAGAATATTACCAATCCCCTCTTCCATCTTCTCTATCACAATCTCTCATCACCCTGCAATAGAACACCAGAACTTATTTCTCTAACTAGAAGTCTCTAGGCAGTCTCTTTGGTAGGAAGAAAAAAGAAAGAAAGGAAAGAAAGAAAGGAAAGAAAGGAAAGGAAGAAAGGAGGAAGGAAGGAAGGAAGGAAGGAAGGAAGGAAGGAAGAATATAACTTTACATTTACAGTCAACTGATTTTGGCAAGGGTGCCATGACAATTCAGTGGAGAAAGAATGTTCTTTCAGTAAATGGTAGGAAG